TGGCTAAATCATTCCATATTCGGCATACGAAGGACCATGATGAGGGCAGGATGCCCAATTTTGTCGCAACCTTGAAGAATAGGTACCTTCTCGGTATTGCGCTGCTTGGCGGTGCTGCTACGGGATATCAGCGATGATATCCTTGAATGGAAACACTTGGACCAATGCTACGTCTAGTGTTTATTAATTGAATAGACCCAGCTCCGAGTGATTGATCTATGTAGGTATTTTTATACAATTAAAAAATCGTGACTAACTTTTTGAAAACTTGAATGACAACTCCACAGAACATATCACCTCTAGAAAAGTATCTGCAATGGTATGTACCGGTTATGAATTACGGCGCCCTCGTTGACTGAAAACCCAACTAATCGAGTATTCTTGACAAAAAGGCGAATTGATTTTTTTCATATATTTTTATTATTTTTGTATAATTTTTAATGTTCAACTGTATTTGGCTTGCTGACTCCTCTTAGCTCTTTTCGCCTCATTTTTTTAAAAACTATGACTGGCAGGAAGTTTCCGATGTCGAACATAGTGCAAAAAGAGTTAGTAAGTTAGCAAGAGACACGCAGTTATAGGTAGATCGCAAAGTAAATACGAATAATAAATACAAATACGAACGAAACGAAACAAACGAATAAATGCAAAAAAATACGAACAAAAATTAGGTTTTTTTTCAACCAAAACTTTTTGAATTTTCACTTTAACGCGCGTGGAAACCGTGGGGTACAACAACACAATTTAAAAATTCAAATTTTGACTTTTAAAATGACAAAATAAATGACAAAACCAACCAACACAAATCACTGTCCACACCACAGATACCTGTAAATTTCTCTTATCTCCCGACAGTGTCGCCATCGTTGAATGAAAACCTAACTAAAAACCTTTGTCGCGATTCTTCCATTTGAGATATTTTTCTATATGTGATATGTTCTGTGGACAACTCTATCAACAACGGGTTGTTATGCATTATTTTTCCGATTGTTTCTCATTCTGCCTACTCAATTTGATAAAGGCTGTTTATTATTTAAAAAAATGCAAACAAGCCAAACCTTTGGCTAGTTTACAAACTAGCCAACCAATTTTCTGGCTAATTTACAAACAAAGTTAGGTTAAAGAATTTGAAGCTTCTTTAATAGATCTGTATAATAATAAAGCAAATAATTCCCAACTTTACAATGAACGAAATCTGGCAAAATAATAGCTTGTATGGACGATTTGTTTGATATCGTTAAAGAATCTCACCAATCAACTGGACACGGCGAAAAACAAGTTACCTACAACAAAGCTAATAAATCAAAAATATTCAAATATTACCCAAGAAATTGTAACTTTGTTCCTCGATGGATGTGAGAATTACCAGATAAAAAAAAGAAAAAATTTCCATTTTATTCATCTCTGATTTATCGAATAACAAATACCATAATCATTAAAGTTTATTTGTAAATTAGCCAGAAGATTTGTTGATTAGTTTAGAAATAGCTAGGTTACATTGGATAGTTTATAAACTAACCAGCTAATTTAGTTTTCTCAATAATTTCAAGTAAATTAGCCAAGACTTTTGGTTAGTTTGCAAACTAGCTGCTATTTTAGTAAAAATTGCGTTTTCCATCAAAATAGTCAAGGGGTTGGTTAGTTTGTGCACTATCCAGCTAGTTTACAAACTAGGCAAGTTTGCATATTAACCGTAACATATACAATAGATCGATTTGGTCCCTGGTGGGACACCCTATGAAGGGTAGCCTACTCAAAAAAATCGTACTTTGGTGAATATTTTATTTCGTAAATTTTGTTTTGTTGACTGTAATATGCTTTCGAAGTATATCTACTATCCAACAACTCATTTTTTTTGCCCTACAAGCAATGCTGCTTGCTTACAATCTAGAACCTGAACCTTATCCCTTTTACCCGAGGTAATAGGGCACTAAATTGACACAAAATTTAATGACAAAATATTGCTAAGGCATACGTTAACGTTTCAAAAATCATAGCCATCTTGGATTCGCTTTTTTTTTGAAGTCCTATTATGGTATTTTTAATTTGAATTGAAACACTAAAAAAAAACATCAAAGCCGTTTTCTCGCGTTCACTTTTTTGACATTGGTTCAAAACAGGTTTGAAACGGGCAATGGTGTTTCCATTGACTGTGTTTCAGGTCTTGCTGGTCTAGAGTCTAGACATAATGCCAACTGTGGAACAGTATTGCTATTGCAGTCTGTACAGCGTGGCCCAAATTCGAGCCATATTGGGATATCGGAAAGAGATACACCGTATTTATGGCAAAGTCGCGGATTTGGATGCTTAACAAAATGCCCGCCCGGAAATATCCTGAAAATTCAAGTTGAATATCAACCATAATTTTATCCTTGTCAGACTACGGGCAATGAACAAGGACAAGGAGATGCCCGGCGTGCAAAACGAACACCTCTCACCTGTACTAGTTTACTATATAGTTAACCAACGAAAACGCATTGCCTCGTGTTGCGCGCGCATACAGGTAAAAATAGATAGGTCTATTCACTTCATATTCAATCATCATTGTTAAATTCAAAAATAATACTAGTCACAAGAGTACTTACATTTAAATTTTCACCCGTAAAGTTACTTAATTATTTTACTTCAAAATAGCTTGAGCACGCACATAAAACTGAAAGGTTTACTTCTTTCTTACTTCAAGTTAATTACCGAGTTTATACTTTTCCCGAGGCCCGACTTTATATACTTGAGATAATTCGCCACTTCTGAATAGGTACTACTAAGTTATTGAGTTTAATTCTCGACAATTGACTGATTATTATTATTTAGAGCTCGCACATAATATTGAACGAATTTAAATGTTCTTTTTTCATAATTTTTCGTTACTTTTACAAAGTTTAACGCGTTTTCCCGGGACAACAAAATAAAATAAACTCTTCGCGAATTTTATCCGCACTGACTCATTAGGTACTGTAGACTTAAACTCAAAATTGAACTGAAGACTCAACTGGACTGCAGACTAAAACTGCTGAATCACCAAAATCGTCAATATGGGCGGTCGTTTGATCATCTGTAATTCAATTCTATTGGTCGACCTAGATATTATTCCAAAAAAAAAAAATAACTTTCTCATTCGGAGGATGACGAAATTTGTGTCGAAATTGTATGATTATTTAGGGTCAATGAAATGGGAAAGAATGTAGAGGAGATATAAATCACCAATTTAATTACTTTGCCGTGGTTTTTGATTGCTTTCTGGTTTTGATTTATGAGTTCAAATGATGACACACGCTTGATTACAGGCTTTTTTTTTTAAATTTGAACCTATATAAATATTTTAATTAATTTAAGGTCAACACTGAAAGTTTACTTCTGGAATGACTATGAGATTTGACTTTATTCCAGAAATTAATTTTTCGTTAGTTAGGGTAGCTCATTGGCCTGCATGCAGTCCCGATTTAAACCCTCTATACTATTTTCTGTAAGGTAACTTAAAAATTAGACTATACCTATAAAAATACGCCTGACGATAATTAATGTCTTTGAGAAAAAAGATTAATAGGTACTCACTCCATCCTAGCTAGGGTGATTGAAGGATCGATTTTGGAACTACAAAAAATTTGCCAGAAATCAAGAAATTAGATTAAATCATGTCTTTTAACTAAAATTGGCATGCGGATTAGAAACTCGAAATCGTATAAAAAAATTATAGTAATAATTTTGTCTTAGGATGAATGTTTGCAGTCGAAACGTCGGAATTTCCAAACGTGTTATACATGAGGTATTTTATTTTTTTACACAAACAAATTATGTAAAGAAAATCCAGGTCCGTATTAGAAAAAAAATAGGATGATGATGGCCTTGGAAAGTCGAAACGTCGTGTTTTTAAAATAATCCACCCAAAAGTGCTTCGAAATAGCTATTTACCTAACAAGTGCAGAAAAATATTTTCCGCAAGTGTTAGGTACAATATTTTTCCTACAGGCGTAAAAATGTAAAATTTTTCTTTTTTTTTGACGTATCAGTGCGGTAAAATTTTTTCCGCACTGACAGCCGTGCGGAATAGTTATTTTCCTAACAAGTGCGCAAAGTGTTACTTTTCCGCACGCGCGGAGTTCGGATACGTGTTTGCGTGCGGAAAAGACACTTTGCGCACGTGTTAGGAACAAAATTTTTCCTACGAGCTTCATATCAGGTAGGTAATAACAAAAATTAAAAAAAAAAACGATAATTTGTTTAATTATTTTTAATAAACTTGAAGGGAACCTATATGCATTTATCAAAAAATTACATAACAAAAAAATATAACAGAAAATCCTCGTCAGAGCTGTTCATCTTAAAGCGTTTAAATTTGATGAGAAAGTTTGTAGATTTTTGCATAAACATAGAGAACAAATCTGACAATGTGTCAAAGTTAATTTATATTTGGTATTTGTATAGATGTTGGCTGATATAGAAACAGAGGAAAAATTTGTCATCATGTGTCAAAGTCGACAGGTGCACTTATTGTTGCTTGACAATTATAATTACTTTTCGGCACTCAGTGCGGATAAGGCCTGTATCCGCACTGAGTGCGGAAAAGTGTAACTTTGAGCCCGGAAATGCGTGCGGAAAAGTACTACTTTGCGCACGCTCGTAGGAAAAAACTTATTTTGATTTTTCTGGATCTCTTAAAATGAAGCTAGGTATCACAATTTTTTGAATTTTCCGGAATTACTTATTTGTCATTTCTCAAATTTCAAAAAGGCATATTGTTGTCTGTTGAGCATCAAAATGCGCAACTTTGCCATAATTTAACTGACCCCATATCTCTTACGGTCTCCCAGATTTCAATGATGAGGTTCGAATTTGGGCCACCCACAACCCTAAAATGACCAAATCACATCGGTGTTGACGCCATGACGACAATTATTTTTGAATCAGCTCCATCATTTTAGTGTAGAGGATGGGGATTATCTTAGAAGATAGAATTTATAGATTTTATAGGTGCCAAATAATGATGTATTTCAAACCCTTAGTTGCAGACAAAAAATGGTTGGAATCGCTTCAATCCGTTTGGCACAAGAGAGAAAAGCATGGCGCAAAAACCACCCTCCCGGATTCGTGGCACGCCCTTCGAAAAATGCTGACGGATCTTTGAATTTGTTGAATTGGGAATGCTCCATTCCTGGAAAGAAGGGCACCCTATGGGAAGAGGGCCATTACAAACTTAGAATGTTGTTCAAAAAGGGTAATATTCAACTAGAACTAGAATACATAAAAACAATTATTATTATTATCGAATAGATTACCCTAGCAGTCCACCGAAATGTAAGTTCGAACCACCGCTATTCCACCCCAATGTTTACCCCTCAGGAATGGTATGTTTGTCGATTTTGGAGGCGAAAAAAGATTGGCGTGCAGCCATCACTATTAAACAAATTTTATTTGGTAAATTTTAATTATCCGGTTGGATCACAGACCAATTTTAATTATTTAAAAAAAAAAATAGGTCTTCAAGATATGTTGGACGAACCGAACCTTGCGGATCCAGCCCAAAAGGAAGCTTACAGAATTTATTGTCAAAATCGTTCGGAGTATGAGGAACGAGTCAGGGCACAAGCTCAAAAATAATACTGCATACTGGAGGAGTATATTATACAGAACTTTATTGAATCATTTTTGAAAAAACAAAAGTCTCACAGAAAAGTGGCATAATAAAGTAATTGAGGACATTTTCAAAAAAATAATTATGATCTGCTCACGTAATTTTCGACATGTTCATCTTAGTCTTGAAAGTTTTGTTGTAATATTTAAGTTAGTCTTAAGCATTTATTTAACAAATTTATATCCTCTGCTGGTAATAAGTAAAACAATGTACCCACTATTTCTAGGACATTCAATAAGTACCTATCAAAATATCATTCTTTAAGATTTTTATATCACAATAATCCTCAATATTAAATTTCTTAAAAACTGTTTACTTTTATAATGATTATCAACCCACTGTGTCCAGAGTTCAAATTATTGCGGGAGTACAGAACAATATTTTGATGTTGCTACATAAATATTTTGGTACCCCTAAAAATTATTTTCATCTAATTTGGTCCTGTAGTTTACGTGTTCTAGGTTCACTTCACAGATAGTAACAACTTTTATTTAAAAAATTGACTCAATACACCCATGCATTGAAATAGTCCGGGAGCCGAGGCCCTTTTTCCAAATCATTATTATTAAGCTAATTCTTGCTTAAAGTTTGCGACCTTTGTTGAAGATTGAGGGAGTTTTTGAAACTGGTACCTTTAAAAATTTGTGTTGCTTAGAATACAAATTTTCAAGTCACCAATTTTAAAAGGCGCTTTTAAGTTAAAAAAGGATGTTGCATACATCTGTAAGTGTTTTTCAAGTATATGCTATTTTACATTATATTTGGCCTAAGTGAAAAATAACTATACAGGGTGTCCCACCGCACCGGGAACCAAATCGATCTGTATGTATATGAAAAACTGTATGCAGAAAATTTTTGAAAATTTGACAGTATACTAAAGTTAATGGGAGCAATCCGGCAAAAATATTTTCAAGATGATGGCACTTCCAGTTATACCGGAAGTAGACGTTAACTTGCTCATTCTACATTTTAAGCAGATTTCATGTGATATACTGAGGAAAACCACTTATTTAAAATATTATTTTTTCAAATTTTAACTTAAATAAAAAAATCGTTTACCGAATAAAAGTGAATGTTGCAACTTGCAACCATGTATGCGCCAAGTTTAGGGTTGAAGGCGCGCCACAGAAAACGGAAGTACCGAAACCGAAGAGGAGAAGAGAGAATAAGCTGAACTGGTCCCTTAGACGCTTGCCTGAAATTGTTCGCCGAAATTCTGACTTTCTGGACACAGGTCTCTCGATTCGCGATTACTATTTGTTTCTTGATTACTTAACCGACACTGGTCCTTCACGCCGTAGTTCTGCCGGTTTACTCGCTCTTTCTCGAACACTGATTTTCTCCTGTCAAAGTTGCCTTTTTATAGCATTGGTCCCTCCATTGTCTTGAATTTCTTTATTGTTTCTGACCTCGATTTTTCGTGGTTGAATCATCCGATCAATTAATGTATTTGGTCCCCTTTTAATTAATTATCAAGGGCGTCGCTAAGTGGGTTTTATCATATAGGTTCGTGCATGATTTATTGATTCTTTTAGAAATTTTTCAGCTCCTTTGGAAACTTAAAAAAAGGTCCATGAGCTTTTGCTTTATTCACATTCCAATGTATAAGTCAATATAGAGTATCGGCTTTCAATAATTTCTGGATATCGATGTTCAGATAATTTTTAATTGAAGTTTCTGGTTGTTCTGTCTAAGTGATGATCTCTCCAGTCCTTGTAATTTTTGATTAATTTTCGGTAGTTGGATCCTAGGTCTTTAATTGTTTAGAATGATTAGAACCTTTAATTATTCTCTTGGTGGTTTATTTCCGCGCAGTGACGCTTTAACCTTTCTCTGGCCCGTAGGTCAATTATTTAGTATGGCCTTTCATGAGTGATTGTTCTTTTTTATAGGGTTAAATAAAATCACTCAGGGCTGGCGAGTCACCTCCGAGTTAGTTTTAACTCCCGAGTAAGCGTGTTCGGTTGCTATGTTTACCCTGGAGTTGGAGTTATCCTTAACCCGAGGATGACCTGCTATTGAAAAACCGGCCCTCAGACGATTTCAAGCTACTAACCTGGCAGAATATGAAGACAAAAAATGTTGCCAAGTAGTATTCGGTCAAATCAAAGAACTACAAAATGATGGAACAAGAATGGTCACAAAACACGCTATATGGTCGGAACGTCCTAAAAGAAAATGATGGCATTGAGCTCCCAGCCTATTAATCACCACATATGGATGCTGGGGCCTAAGTGTACTGATGGGTGCTTCGGAAGAACAGCTGCATGGCTTTGGATCAAATCCATTAGCGAGGAAAAGATGCATAAAGGGTTGCAACTCTGAGGAAAATTCGTACCACGTTGCCTGTGCATGCCCTACAAGCTCAACAACAACACTTCGTGGTACAATGGACCCTTAAGACACTGCTCAAGTCCCTGGATGCTCCAGAAGAAGTAGTTGCCACGTGCCCGTGCTGCGCTAATGACGCGACGGCGATTCAGCGCAGCTCGGTGACTCTAGGGCGTGTTCCGGATTGATGCTCGCTGGAGCGAGCGGAGTGATTCCAGAGCATCGTGACGTCAGACAGTGCACTCTGGCCAAACCAAATGTGCTTGTGCAGTGTGAATTATAAGAATTAAAGGGCATTGAAATATCTGCTAGTCCTGCTACTAAACAAGTCGATGTTTTTAATACAGTGGGCTTTTATATTTTATATTATAAATTAAAGGCCAGCGGTTGGCCTTCATTCTCTAGTGGCCCGTGGGACATGACCTAATTGTCCTAACGGATAAAGTGTCCCTGTTTCCGCGTCACTACAGGGCATTTCATTTAAAAAAGTGAACATTGACATATTTTTTTACTTTGCGTAGCTCATTTGTTCAATTTAATCGAAAATTCTGGCGGTTCAGCCAAAATGCTACAACTTTTGTATTTAGACCTTTTACCTATCCCTATCACCTGTAATTACGGTTGCAGGTGGGGGTCAAAATATGGTGACTCACCCTGTACATTTTAGGGCCTTGTTGAATTTACTAACATTTTCCTACCATGACGAGCGAATATCCTAGCAAACAAATTAAAATAATCAATCTAGAGATATTGGCTTAAAAACAACTATAGCTGAGTAGCTTCCCGTGTGGGACCTCAGTACCTGCTGGGAAACTGGCTAACTAACAAAAAAAACTCTTCAGTATTGAATATAGGTAGTGTTGATTGAATTTTGTGTGTGGAATTAAAATTTTAGCAGCCCAATGACAAATGATGGTACTTAATTTAAACTTTTATTGAATTATTAAATCATTGACTTAAATTATTGAATCATTGACTCACAATTATTATTAAAATGACATAGTATGTTCTGAGAATTATTCGATTGAGGGTTTCTCTGCCGTGCTCTTTCTCCTCGTTAGTTCCAGGTCGAGAACGGTACGATTTACTTTGATAATAAAGTAGACGTTTCACAAAATTTTCGTTTCTTTTACGTATCACAACCTCCCTAATACACTGGCCAGCAAAATTAACGCACCACTTACTCATTTCTATTTTAATGAGGTTGGAATTGAAACTATGGATTGGCTAGCACACAGTTCTGATTTTAACCCAATTGAGGATGTCTGGAACATGATCTATCGCCATTTTTGAGAGCTTCCTAACCCTCCTAACACTTTGAATGGACTTACTGGAGATATTGTCCAAATTAATATGGAATTATTTGGACTAAAATGAGATAAGGCCCGTAATTTCAACATGAATAATCGCTGCCGTGCTATTATTCAAAATAGAGGAGGAAATACTGGTTATTAATTATTTTTAACAAAAGTTAAAAAAAAAATATATTTTTGAATTTTCTTGTTTTTTTTTTTCTTACCTTCTTTTGGAATTTTATCTTTTGTTAATACCCTTATTAAGTTAGAATAAGAATATATTTATTCAAGACATAAAAATATTTGATCAATATTATGGAATAAAAAACATTTTTCAAAAAAAGTAGTGGTGCGTTAATTTTGCTGGCCAGTGTATTTGCTATGTCGGGCGCATGTCCAGTAAGTAAAATTAAGTAACTTTCCACAACGTAGGTCTTATTTGTTTTTCATTTCATTTTTTAGAAGATTTGCTGTTTAGAAGGTAATAAAAATTCACACCGTTCAATCTTGCTGAACGAACCCGGGTATGTTATACTACAATACCCTTTACCTAAGTTCAACTGTTTTGGAAATATTGATAGTTAAAAATTGACTTTTTGCAACTTTGACAGGCTGTAAAACCTACACGGTTAATTTTAGAAGAAAACCGATCCTACATTCTTATCTTATAACTATCATTTGACACCAACTTTGAATTTAATCGGAGATTAAATTTATTTGGAATTTTCAATCATAGATTGTGTGTGTGAGCCTTTATCATTTGTAAATACTAGGTAAAAAATATTTTTAATGTTTTTTTAATTATGTGTAAGTTTTATCCTCAGAGGATTTATCTATGTGCCGTTTATTTAAACAACTTTTTAGACGTTTTGTGTTGATATCATTTTTCCCTTGATAATAGACTCCTTTCTTTCATTTGCTCTGCTTAATGGTACTTCACCCTTGAGCAGTGTTACCAGATTGGGGGATTTTCCCCCAAAGTTGGGGGATTTTCAAGTAGATGGGGGAAAATCTGGGGGATAGTTTTTTCTGGGGGATTTTTTGGGGGTAAGAATTGTAAGAATTTTCGCTATTGGGGTAAATCGGGTATATTTCAATGAATAAAACTAAAGTAATAAATGTATTAAAACAACTGCGCCATCTATTTTTTCAATCAAGTACCAATAAAAAAGATACAGTTTGCTTCTTCTCCAGTGTTGCCAATGGGCGGATTTTAATCCGATTTGCGGATTTTTTTTGGACGATCGGATTTTGTGATTCAGAGGATTTTTTGCAGATTTTTTTAGATAAAACGAATGAGGGCATGAAATCCCTCCAAAGCACAAAAAGCCAACATGGCTGCTATGGCAGTATGCAACAAAAGCGTTTGGTGTGGTTTTGAGATTATTTTTTAAACTATCCAAACTTCTTGGTACAACTGTACTTATCTGTTCTGTCACCAGTCACAACATTTTATCATTTGTCAATTGTCATTTTATTTTTGGGATTATTTTTTTTTTGGAATTATGAGTCGAGAATAAATCTATATTTATTTGGGGGATTTTAGTTGACAAACAGTGATTTTTGGGGTATTTTTAAAATCCTTTGGGGGAAATTAGTTATAACCATCTGGCAACCCTGCCCTTGAGAAATTTATGATAATCCTACTGAATAATAATTGAGAAGTAGGTAGAGACAGTAAAA